GGTTCCGGGGTTGTTGGGGGTTCTGTCTGGGGGGGGAGAGGCACGTCTGGTGTCTTGGAAGTGCTTGTCCGAATGCTTGTTGCTTCTCGGGAAAGTTTTCACAGTGTACTTGGCTGGTGAGTTTTAAGCTGATTATTTTCCCGGTAATGCACTTGAATTGCTTCAGTAAGCAGCGAACACATGTCAGGCTGTCGTTGTGGCTGTTCAGTGTGTAAGCTGGGAATTTCTGAACCTGTTTGTTTTTTTTTTTTTCTTGGCGTCGCTTAACATCACTCCCAGTGCGTGCCCGGTCTTTGCAAGTTCCTTGTTTTCAGTCCTGTCTCTGGAAAGCCCTGGATCTCTTCCCTTAGCAGCTTGGTGATGAACTCTTGGCTGTCCATGTCTTTAGTTTTGTTCTTCCTGTTACCCTTTGACTTATTTATTGAAACTGAAGTTAGCAGTTCGGTTGAAGTGGCTTTAGACTAAATGTACTGCGCTCATGTTGTTAGCAGATGGTATCAGATTAGTATTTTTATTCTGTTTTCCTTCATTCTTATTCCTGATAAATAGCTGTTTTCTAGGAAGATCAGTCTTCATGAAAACTAGCCACTGGTGTGGTTGGGGTTTTTTCCTCCTTAGTTCTTTGCACTCTGTGTCACACTAATTCTTCTTAGTTGTTCGATTCTCTCAAGAGCTTTTTAAGAGATTTTTGTATGTCTTGTTAATGAGTACGGAGTTTGTCACTGATTGGACCTTGGAGAGTCTGCTGTTTTGTTTTTCACTCAATTTGAAATACCAATGCAGTTATTACGGCTTAAGTCAGCTGTGCTGTTGAAAACTTCTGTCCTTATTTTGTGGTAGCAATTCTTTTTGTACATTGTTCTGCCCCAGTGATTCGTAGTTTCATCAGTTTACTTTAAAAGCTTTCAATCTTGTATTTAGCAGTGAAAATGTATGTAAATGATAGGTGCAAATGTTTCTGGAGTCAGCAAACGTCTGTATGAGGTCAGTCTTTCACCTTACAATGTCTGTTGTGCAAATACACAAAGTGAATTTTGCAAAGGTAAGACCTTCACTGCTTGGACTTATTGAAAGAGACTTCACTGTTTAAACAAGGATGCTGGATCATTAAAGATTGCTGGAAAAGACGTCCAGTGGGAAAATGTGCAGGTCAAATATATGTAATGCAGTAAGATACCAAACAGTAAAGTGTACTTTATCTTGAATCTAACTACAGTAATTTAACTCCTCAAAGATGATCCTAATTGCTGCAAGAAGAATACCAAAGGTATTTAATACTGGAAGATTAAGATCTTAATTAAATATCCTGATGCACCAGTGCTTGCAGTAATTCATGTTAGTTATTCATAATGCTTTTAACTATCTCCTTGATGCACTTAAATAATTTCATGGGCTTTTGCAGCAGAAGCTTTGAAATACAGACCTGACTTCTGCCATAGAATTGGTGTCTCTGATACAGATTGAAAAGCTTGCTGAAACTGAGGTCAGATTCCAGTTACAAGTAAAGCAAGTTTAACTCTTTCCTCTGCTGGTTATTGCTCTCTTTTCAACAACCTGTAACTGACTTAATGGGTTGGTTACACAGGAAGCTGAAGACTGCAGTGAGTTTTTTGACAATCAAAAATAGAGATTTAGGTATGTGATGAAACCTGTGAGGCTAATTTGGGATCTGGGAAAAAAAAATAAATTGATTAGATATCCTAAAACAAGCAGAAGCAAGTGTGTCTTAAGCAACTGCATTCCATGTGCCTGTGAGACAACTTCCTGAACACAATTTTCCTGTACCTGTTGAATTTCATGTAGTCGAGATTTAAAATTTGTTCTAGACTGATAGAACAGTGTAAATACTTCAGTCCACCTTACACAGAAAATAGTTTGGTCAACTGGGAACTTTCCTTTCATCAAGATGCTGTAATTCTTTATTAGGGCAGACTAATACCCTGCCTCTTCCAGTACTGGGTGCTTGGGGAAGAGTATAGGTGACAGATAAGTTTAGTATCAGGCTTATTCTGGTAGACTCTGTAAACAGGTGGGAAATAGCAATTCAGGGACTTAATGAGCTTGAGGTTACAGCCAAATAGCATTTGAGTTACGATGGACTTGCCTCTGAACTTCTGGAGCCTTGCCTGTGTATACTTCTGACTTGCAAAAGGATTTTGTCAACCCCTATACAAAGAAAAAAAAAGTAGTCTTATGCTGTCATCTTCCTTGCTTGAAACCTGTAGGTTTCATTTGGCTTGTCCTCATTTGTCTGGAAAGTTATTTGAGGTCTAAAGCTGCTTCTTTGAGGTTAGGGGAGCCCTCCAATAAGAAGCAACAGGCAGAGAGCTGAGTTTTGTTCTAGCCCCAGCTTGTTTAGTCTGTCCTCAAATGCCTGAAGGATACACTAGGTAATTTTCAGAAAATAAAATGAAGCTAGATTTAAAGTGCTTTTAGGATTCGCTTGTTTAAATATGAAAAGAAACAGGAACTCTATTCATGTTAATCTATGGCAAGATGGAATTAAGAGGTGAACAGAAAATGCTGTTTGAAAGGAACATAAATGATTTCCGCTGTGAAGCCCCAGAATGTCTGGAAAAGCAGCATTTTTGACATCTGACTAAATATATCCTAGTTATGCTCTGCTGTATGGAGCCCCAGATCAATCAATGGTCTGTTGAGAGCGAGAATGTAGGATGTTGATACTAGTGACACACTTCCCCTCAGGACAGACTTGGCTACCCTACAGGAAGTGGGGTGAATACTAGGGTATAAAAGCCAATGTTTTGACATGTCTGATCATAGACCAGGAATATTTGTCTATTGAGACATAGAAACAAGAACCAGTGAACTACTTCATGATTTTTAACTCTAATATTTCAAAACTGAAAGCATTTAGAAGGCTAGCAACCTGGATCATGTTTTCCTTAACATCTCAGTTTGAATAAAAGTTTGGTTATTAAACAATGTGAAGCTTAATGTTAGTTTTTGTGTGTGCATTCTTATAAATTAAATCCTTCATGTTAATTCTTACAGAATCTTAGGATGTGTATTATCCCTTAAACTGTAGAAGAGTTTTTTTCTCTTCATGCTGCTTTTTTTGTGAAATCGAGTATATCTCAGGCTACCAAGTTGTGAGCATAACTTTTATCCTTCTTATGCTTGATCTGAAATCATACGCTGCTCTTGGCTCATAACAGCTACAAACACATTGTGTGTAAATCTTGGTACAGTATTGTGTGTTCTGCAGTGATAACTTTTATGATGGTGTAGTTCTGAACATGAGTGAGGGCATTTAAGAGTAGCATGAGGAATAGGAGATACTAGAACGGACAGCCGAGCTCTGGATTGGTGTAGAGGAAGCTGGGTGTTGATGTCAGAAGTGATGGGCAGGACAATGTAAGGAAAGAGGAAAGGATAAAAGATGAAACAGACATGGAAAACATGAGCTATCATCTAATGGGCTTTTGGATAATGAAAAAATGTGAAAGGAAGGAAAAAAAGCATTTAGAGATTATTTTCAGCACTATTGTTAAAGTGTAGTAGGCTCTGGACTGCATGGTTTACAATACAGGATTAGGCTTGTTTGAACAAAAAACAGTCTTTCAGAAAAGACAAAATATGTATTTTGGTTCATTTCTGAATACAAAGTGTATGCTAAACATATGCACAGGTATTTCCTTTTTTGCGTGACATTTCAGTAGAGCTGTTAGACAAAAGTTTTCTTTATTTTACTTAGGAATACTGTATCAGCTTATTGAAGCACGAAGACCAACTTGCAAGTGTTTCATTATACAGTTTGGGTTTTATAACTGGTAAAGATAAATGTATAGTTAAATAAGCTATCTCAGTTCTCTGTTAGTTTTTTAGGGAAGTATAAGTAAAGAATTAAAAATGGATGTTCAATGCAAGCTTCACCAGTATGTAGAACTTTTCTGTGGAGATAATACTTTTGGAAAACTATGTAATAACATAAGAATATTCTGTGTTCTCACAACACCACTGTTTGCTGTCAGCTTTTAAAGAATGCATGTTTCAGTCAATGCTCTTGAAACCTGTGAAGTTATAACTGGTTCCTTCCTTACTTCAATCTTCAATTCAATAATGTTTTTCCCAGTATGTTTACAGAAAAACAAACAACAAAACAACAACCCTTGTTTTCTTTTGTTGGAATTATCTCTAGCACAGAAACCTGGCTGAGGATAAATGGAAACATCACTGCTGGATAGGATAGGTTCAAAGGTTACAGCATACAAATTGCAGCTGCAGACTGTATGCACAGTACTTGTTAAGAGCAATGAGCAACATGCAGTATCAACAAGCTTGTATACGTATTTTGCAATACTGCTAAAAAAATTCCATTTCTATGACAAGATCAGAGTAATCTGGATATTTGCATGCAGGAAATGTTTTTAATTTTTTACTAAATTGTTGTCCACAATTGCTCTCAATTGTGGTGAGGCTTTAGGGCAAAGAGCAGGAGTCATGTGGGAACCCTCTCCTGCCCTAACCCTTAGGACCCTGTTGTTACAGCAAACTTGCTACTCATTCTTACTGCTTTCATTTGATGTTGCCTTACACATGGTGGCTCTTTCATGCTTCAGAATTTGGGAAAGAGATGTTTCTCAAAAAAAACTTTGGAAATATATTTTGGCCCCTTTAAATCTGTGTTTGTAGGAGAGCTGAATATAGTCCCTGGGTTTTAGACACTGTACAGTTGTTCCCTGTGCTCAGGTAAGAAGAAGGGAAGAAGAGGAAACCCTTTCCTTAAGACAGACAATTTCTCTGTCTCCTGTCTATTGAAGCAGAGAATGTGAAGGAGCATATTGTCTCCCTTCCCTGGTTCATGGTTTCATACTTCTATCAGCTGAAGTAGGTTTGAACTAATGAGAGATAATGTATCATGAATTAATACGGTGTGACCTGTCAGCCTGCAGGTTTGGTGTGGTTTGGTACTCTCTGTACTGTTACAACTCATAATTTTGGGGTGTTGCTGTATTGCCTACCACTGTTCACTCTCATCTGGAAAAAGGAATGTAGCACCAGGTAAGTGCACAGGTGGGAAGCACCTGTAAGAAATTTCTAAAACCTTCAGCCAAGTTGAGGTCTTTGTTTCTATCATTTCTAACGCAAATCAAAGTAAATTTTCCTCATTTGTATGGTGTCCTATGGTTATATGCTTTTAGCTGTTGCTGGCAGTTGGGTTTCCTGTATTTCATCTTAAGAAGTCTCAAATGCTGCTTGGGGCATTTGTAATAGGGAAGCTACAGATGAAGAAGTATCTTATCTAGAGGTCTATGTGGCTTTCAGTGATCATATATGGAAAGTGTTTGCATGCTTAAATTCAAAAAAGAGTCAGAGGATGAAGTTTCCTGAGGTCTGAGTGGATTTAGTAGCTTATGGACAGGGAGAGACTTGCTTGTCCTGCTTCCCTTTTTTTTGTTTCATCTGACCTGTTGATGAGCCAGTTCTGCTAACAATAGGCAGTAACAACAAAACCAAATGTATTTCCAGCTGATGTTATGAGCCCAATTACCTCACTGTGTAGTCAGACAAACCCAGTGATAAAATGAGTGAGTGGGTGGTTGAGTATTAACTATATGACTGATTAAAAGGGTATTGAGGAGCATGTGTTTTAGTGTCAGCAGGCTTTTAAGTTGGTCTTACATTTGTGTTGCCCCAAGACTGAAATCCATTAGGAAAATAAATTTGAAACATAGTAGAGACATTAGCTGTACTTACGGGTTCCTACACAACTTATGGTGACTCACAGTGAGTTAAAAATTTATGAAGAAAGAAATCTCTTTAAAGAGCAAGTGCACAATGTGACATTAATAGACTTTAATGTGCTCTAATATTCTCCCTTGGAAAAAAAGCACGGCAGCATGGATTCTTCAGCAGTGTTCACAGTTTGCATTCTAGCTATCTCTAGTGTGCATGAATAAAAACTGTCTTTAAAATAACTGGGACTTTATTGCAGGAATATGAATGTTGATGTTCAAGTAGAACTCTTCTGAAGGCTCAGCTCTTGAAAGCTGTTATAGGAATTCTGCCTTTAGATTGAATCTAGATTTTAGGAAAAAATTATTTACTGAAAGAATAGTCAAGCATTGGAACAGGTTGCCCAGGGAAGTTGTGGAGTCACTGTCACCCTGTTAATGTTCAAAAAATGTGCAGATGTGGCAGTTCAGGACATGGTTCAGTGGGCATGGTGCTGTTGGCTTGACAGTTGGAAATGGTGATCTTAGAGGTCTTTTCCAGCCTCAATGATTCTGTGATTCTGTAGTAAGCATTTCAATGTCAGTGGTTTTTTGTCAACGAAGAGTGAAACTGAACTTTACCAGGCAGTTTTGGTGTTTGCCTGAGATCTCCCTTATGCTTTAAAGCTATATAATTTAAAATTCTAATTCACAGAATCACAGGATGTCCCTGGCTGGAAGAGACCTCCAAGATCATCCAGTCCAGCCTTAGACCTAACACCACAAGCTCACCACTAAACTACGTCCCTAAGCACCACGTCCACGTGCCGTTGAAATGCATCCAGAGGTGGTGGCTCCACCACTGCCCTGGGCAACCTATTCCAATGCCTGACAAACCTTTGAGTGAAAAAATGCTTCCTAATACCTAAACTAAACCTCCCCTGGTGCAGCCTGCATCCATTCCTTCCAGAAGATAATAGTTTTAACTTGTATGCCAATCACAAGCTGATATTTCAATTTTTTTTTTTGCCTCTATATCCTTGTTATAAAAAGGTTAATTGCATTTTAACAAATGGACACAAGTTCAGAGAAGTTCTTTGGGGTAAATTTTTTTAAATCAGGTTTTATGTGGCAACACTAACATAAACTGATAATGATAGCAGTAAGTATGAAAGTTCAGCAGTGTGTGTTATGTAAGCAGTAGCTATTACATGCCTTAGGGTATCTCCTAAATTAAAAGTTGCTGGGAAAATACCTAGTTAATATACTGCTTTTACTGTTCAGTAGCAGTGATTGTTGGCACAGAGTTTGTGAGCACAGTGTCCTATTTACTTGCACATGAATAGTGGTAGTAGAAGATGTAGGTGTAAAGGCACTAGTAAACTTTCACTAGTGGTGAAGAGACAACATTGGGAAAAAGTGTATGTATTTCTTGTCTGAATGTAGCTGTGTTCAGCTTTAGCCAAGTTTGCATAGTAACCTGTTTAGCTGACAAGCATTAACTTTGACTTGTAGAAGATCCAGAATTGGAAGTTGAAGGCAGCATATCATATTTTGGTTTCTGCATTTGCTGCCAGCTGTAGTTGCAGATTCCTTCCTTCACACCACCACCACTTTCATTTTATAACCTTTGCCTCTTTTCAACCTGTTTTAATGTCTTGTTCTCATGACATGGCTTCCTGGTGGTTTTAACTTTTCTGTGCAGCTTTCAAGCTTTGTTTTGACTCTTCTGAGTGTTGAATGGCAAAGGGGATTTTTTTAATGCTCTCAGAGCCTATTGTTTCCCTGTATTTAATCCAGCAAAATTGTTAACATCTTATGTCTCCTTTTGATTGCTGTTATTTGCAGTGTCTGACTCTGGATGCTGGTTGACTAAAATTAGCCTGCTTACTGCTGTGGCAGGGTTTCAATTAACTAACAGTTTTCCAGAACAACTACATGTGAAGCATGTGAAATGCTTTGGAGTTGGAGGAGGAAGTTCTGAACTAGCTGAGCAGGAAGGGTGTAGCATGTCCTCAAGCTTAACAGTGTTTTGGCTGGAGATTTTAGCCCAACTATCAGTGTCTCAAGGCTAGAATAAATGTTACTGAGAATTTAATAGGTTTGCTTTGTGCAATTTGGGTCCAGACTAAAGGATATCCTGTGACTGGTTTTACCTCTTGGCTCTGAGGTTCTGAAATCCCTTTCCTTATAATCTTGGGTAGTACTCTTTAAGTAACTTGATTGCAATAGTAAGAAAAACAGATAATGAAAGATGACACTTGAAAAACTGAAGGCACATTAAAAATAAGTGTTGTCTTAAACAGAAAAGTTTATGAATGAACTCTGGGAGATGGTGCTGTAATACTAAGTTTATGCTTATCCATTTACATCTGCTGAATTTAAAAAGTGTGGGTAATGCTTTATTTCTGTTACTTACATAAATAATGTGTTTCCTTTTTTGTGTCCACAACTGTAACTGACACAGTGGTTGTCAACCCACTTAATTATTTAGCTAGTTGACTACTAACCTTTAGTGGAAGTAGCACATGGCAGACTTACTCTCCTTAATTTAGAAAGTTTTTTCCCTTAATTTTACATTGCCTTATTGCTAGAATGTGAGAAATTTAAGAGAGAGGGTGCTGTTATTTACAACATGGGTTGAAGGCACAGTCCGTAAAGTAATAATTACTTGTTCTGTCTTTAGGAAATACACGTAAAGGAACCCATAGGAAAGGAAGTAAGTCCTCGCCTATTGCCAGGTAACTGAAGTATGTTGTATTAATTGAATTAAATACTAAAAAATCAGTCACGTAAACAGTGCCAGTGTTTCAGGAAGTAGACTATTTTGTTGTAACAACCTACAGAAGTTGAAATGTTTTAAATATCTTTATCTGTCAGGTTGTTGAAAAAATGATAAAAATTGAAACTGTTATGAAGTATCTTGAGGTATGCTGCATGGGAAGAACTGTCTATACTTAGTTTGCCCTGTTTCTTAAGAGATATAATTGAGTGATTTTTTTCATTTGGAAACTGAAGACCAAGAACTAGTGGAAATTTTCTTTCTAGTTGCTTTGCTTCTACGATGGGATACTTAGGCCTATTGATGCCTCATTCACAGTTAAGATTTTTTTAAAAATAAAATTTACAACTCTTTCTTCTTAAAAATGTTTTTCAAGATCAGGAAAGGTGATAATGCTAAGATAAAAATACAAGTAAAAGCTTAGAATAAACTAGCATTGTTCTGTTGGGTTTTCTGCACTTTGTAGGAAAGACAAATAGTCTGGCTCATTATGCCTTATTAAAACTTGTTTTTACTTTCTTGAAGTTCAGTTCCTGCTAATTTTAAGATTAGAATTTCATTGGCTATTATTCAGACTTGTGTTTGAGAATGTTAGAATAGCCCCTGGACCTGTAAGATAAGCAATGCCTCCAGTCAAAGCTTTGAAAAATTAATGATAACAAACTTGTAATAATCCACTCAAATGATCCAGCATCCCTAGAGTTTAATAATAAGGAAAATTGAAACAGTTCTCAACTTGTCTATTGACTGTATTAACTACTCTTCAGTGGGCTTTGGTTTTTTGTGACTGCATACTTGTCTGGTTATGCATTGCAGCTTCACAAGTTGTTCTCCTACCACTTTGAGTAGACCATGATAACAGGTACCTCTGGTTACAGAACTTGTATTAAATGTGTCCAGTTGAACAGCCTTCAGTCCTTCTTGAGTAGTATTAGTAACCTGGAAAACTCTTAATGTGCTGATTCCAGGAGCTGCCTCTTAGTCTTTTTGTGTAAAAGTGATGAATTATCTTCAGGCATAATGGTTATGAGAAGCTGTTCAGGAAGATAATGTTAACATAACAGTTGAAATAATGCAATTACAAATGTCAATCGATTATGTTGCCAGTTAGTGTTTCTTTTATACAGGTGAATTGCTGCTTTGTGAGGCAAGCACGGTATACAAGTATATACCAGAGGATGGATCTAATCGCGGCACCTATGGGAAACTTGTATGCACAAACTTCAAGATTGCTTTCCTGGATGATGATTCTTCTTCAGATGATAATGTAGGAGAACAAGTCTTCTAATTATGACCAAATAGGCTCTGAAGACTTACCATGTTTCTGACTAAAAAATTGTATCTTTCCCTCTTATAAGATGCAGTATCAATATTGATTTATGAAAAGTTTTAATGGCTGCAGACAGGCTTTATCTGCTTGGTCTATGCATGTTCTTCCTCAAGCTTTAATGATTATTTGAGTAAAAATGTTGCAAGCCTGTATTCAGACTCCTACATTAGACGTAGTTTATGACTTTATACCTTGTGAGATGGTAATTTTGTGAAGCTGAAGTTGAAAGAATTAAATATTTTGAAAACTGAATTAACAGTTGGTTTAAGCCTGATTTCTGACTGTTTACACTTTTGCAGTTGCTACTAGATAATGTCAAACATACTTCTGATGTTGTATAACATCTGACTGACTTGATGCAGAACCATTTCAGTGGAAATGCTTTAGATAGTTGTTTATGTGACTTAGTAAAGCTCTGAATTACTTCATTCAAATTGTGGGTGTTTTTTAAAAACCTGGCAAACATTAAAAAGGCTAAAAAGTCCCCAAATCTTAGAAATCAGTTGACTCTTGCTTCCTCTGTTTTAGGTGTTCACATTTAAATGTCAAAGGGGAATGGTAACACCACACCTTTTTTGATATGCCTAAGCATCTCAAACAGTCTGGTCCATCTAGGGGATAAAAGTGAACAAGAGCATAGTATATGGCTCTTGAGTGCTGGGTGATCTTGACAGTGAAGTAGAATGAAAATAGTATGTTCTGACTCACATTGATTGTAGATGGAAGTTTCTTGGGGTAAAATTTTAGGGAGTTTAAATGTTAAACTAAGGCTTCTGCTACCAAATATGAACCTTCTGGAATTAATTGGGACAAAGCTGCAGAGCCCTTTCCAGAGATCACATGAGACTTATGCTGAAGTTGGTAGTGACCATACTAATTTCTGTTGAATCACTAACCTTAAGTCTTGCTTTTGTAACATACCGAGTAAGCTGTACTTCTCTTAACAAAAGTTCATTGTTAGCCACCTGATTGAGAGTAGCATGGTCTACTTACGGAAGTAACTTGAATGAGGTTAACTCTGTTCAGAGCTGTCTTCATGTAAAATGTAATTTGTTGATGCAGTGTACATCAGCCTTCTGGTAATATTTAGTGTAACAACATTTAATTGTGTGGCATTGTCTGAAATGTAATTTTTAACTCTGAACTCTTGAGGTTATAGAAGTGAAGGGAGCACCAAATCACTTCAAGTTTGAGAAAAAAAAAGCAGATAAGAGAATTCCTTTTACTCGTTAATAAATCTGGCTTTTAGCTTAGAATTTTCTTGGGATATTTGTTCTTTTAAAAGACTTTCTATTTCCTGCCAGATTCCCACAGCAAGGAAACTTGTCATAAAAGGGCTTGGATTATATCAAGTTACTGTATTTCCTGTTTACTGCAATCATTCTAGTTTAAGTGACTTCATGGAAATGCATGCTTTGAAGCTATATGAAAAGTAAAAATTCTCAACATTTTCAAGCATGGCTGAGGCTTAAATAAATGTGAATCTGCAGTTTATAAACTATGCCTGTGCAATCTATCTCTATTTTGGTAACCGTTCTCCAGTGTTCTGCCTTACACAACTTATGAGAACAAGTAGTAATGCTGATATTAAAATAGGTACTGAATACATTGTTTACATGTGAGTTGTTACTGCCTAGTAGTGTGAAATTTCTAAGCATTTTTTTCATGTTCCAGGATCCACAATTTAAGAATAAGATTGTTGGAGAAAATGACATAACCCTGCAATGTGTAGACCAATTATATGGAGGTAGGTCAGTTTTCTCCTCTGTGTTTAACAGGCCTCACATCTCCTAAGTGTTTTGTAATGCTAGTTTTTTTGCCTCTACACATATATTGTTTTTGGTTAACTGATAGTAGTGTAACTCTGGAACTAGGAGTGGGTGGTGTGGAAAAAACAACTGCAGTTATATTTAATAATGAAATGACAGATAAGAGATCTACAAGTACAGTCTTATCCCTCATACTTGTCAGAGCTACCTCTTGCTAGGACAGACGAGACAATTCTTTCAAAATGCCATGATTCAAAGCAGAGAAGAGTGTACTGTGAAAAGTGTTTGGTTAAGATTAGTGCACAAGTTTCTTCCAGTGTACCAACTATTTTTAAAAATATGGAGGTTTTTACTTCATTTGAGCAATAGCACTGCAGAGCAGTACAGGTACCAGCTTCCCAAACAATATATTTTGTTTGTCTGAGGAGACTGTTTTATGAGATTCATGATGTCTTCAAAATATAATCACAGAATCATTTTGGTTGGAAAAGACCTTTAAAATCATCAAGTCCAACTCTTAACCTAGCATGCTTTCATGGCCACCACTAAAGCACATCCCTATGTACAATATTTGCACATCTTTTGAATATCTCTAGGGATGGTGACTATACTACTTCCGCTGGGCACAGGAGTAAATCAATTAGTGTTTTGCAATAAAGCATTCGTGTTGCTAAAAAAAGACAAAAAGAAATGGGGCTGGTAATCTGTAAATACTAAGGAAAGCTTCATTGAGAAGCCTGCATTTGAACTAGAGGATTCTGAGTATTTATGAATGGTGGTGAAGGACTGAACTATGGAAAGACTAGTGGAGTCTGGTTATGAAACATGCTGTAGTTTCATATAGCATGGCCTACCTGGCTGCACTGGAAGTCATTAAGTGATGCATCCTCAAACGGAACAGAACAAAGGACTCCCTTGGGAGATTATGGTAGTTTAAAAAACTATTTTTTTATTTTTAGGAAATTAGAATTATCTCAGTTGTTTGGGAGCTTTCCCTCAGGCAAAACTAAGTAAATTATTTTATTTACACATCTCAAAACTTTGAATGTATTATGTAGCCAGATTGTGAACAGAAATAATCACTGAGTGGCTGGCAAGTTTAATTTCTACCTTGCAGGAAGTAGTTTAAGTGGGTTTAAAAACAGCAAGGTGGGTGTATTAGTTCAAAAGCTTGAGTCTGTTGTAGTATCTTTGTTTTGACTTGCTTAACATTGGGCTTGAATTAGTTTCTTGAGAATTTTGAAAAGTCAAGCATGGAGAGCTTTATCCACTGACGACAGAGTCCTTTTTGATATTTACCTAGACTTTTTAATATTGCAGTTTATGATGAGAAAAAGAAACTACTAACTGGACAACTGAGAAAATACCCAGAGACACTAATTATCTACTGTAAAGACCTTAGAGTATTTCATTTCTGCCTGAGATACACAAAAGAAGAGGAAGTGAAAAGAGTAAGTACACCAACCTAATTTTTCTTTTTTAAGCTTAGTGTTGGGTGTTCAGTTGTGAGGATGAGGGAAGGATGGAATTCACCCTGAGATATCCCTTAAACTTATTTTCTGATCATTCACAATTGAGAAAGTAAGACATTGATTTCTAGCTAACCTCACTAATTAAATATTACATACAGTAGTTAAAGATCAGGTGCAATGGCTTTTTGAAGAAAACTGGAGCTTGAGAGTACCAAATGAGATTAGCTTCAGCTCAGACACACTTGTAAAACTGTTCTGTTGTGTTACAATTTTATTATAATTTTAGATTTCAGCCTTTTTCATTTGAAAGCAGTTTTCCTTGTAACTTAAGTTCTTTTAGCAGGTTAATATGAACTTCAAACTAGGAATCTACTACCTTTTATTTAAATAAGTCATTCTGGATGTTGAACAGATGTAATACTTTTCATTAAGCTAAGTAGGTATATTGTCTTGCAGACAATGGAGGAGGCTTTCTAAAAGTTAGTTGTCAGCTGTTAGGAATAAAACTCATTTAACAGTTTTGTTTTAGACCTGGGAGAGGGGGTTAAAAAGAAGTTGGGTTGTTTTGGTTTTTTTTCCATGGCAGTCTTAGTCTGTGTTTGGGTGTTAATTTTTGGTCCTTTCCTAGATCGTCAGTGGTATAGTTCATCATAGCCAGACTCCTAAGCTGCTTAAACGCTTGTTTCTGTTCTCTTATGCATCAGCTGCCCCAAACAACACAGGTAAATGTTTTTCTGTTTTTAAGTTGCATTTGTTGCATACTGTTAGTTCCATAAGCAGTCTGGGACACTTGATAGCTGAGTTTGTACTCAGCTTATGACTCTTCCCTGCTGGCGGATAGCCTCAAACAATTATCTTGCTACGCATGGTAGACTTGTTGCTAAAAAAATAAATTGTCTACTACTGTTTTCTGTCCCATAGTGTACTTGCACAGCAATTTTCCAAGCAAGAGTGGCATGACTGGATTGAAAGCTCAGCAGTGGTCAAGATGTGTAAATGCTTTTCATGTGCTGCTGTCTGCAGTGCTCTCATCTAGAAAATATTTTTGCTTATTTTATCAATGTTTTTTTTCTGTATTATTGCAGTGAACCAAAATTCCTGCTCTTGATTCTTGAATTACTACACTTTCAGTGGCATCTGACAAAGTATTTCCCTTATTTTTGCTTGTATTTGGAAGCGGTCTGCTTCTCCCAGGCAACTGCAAAAAAAGCATAGGTTTACATAGCAAGATTCCAGTGGACATCTGACTTCCTTCTACAGCTAACTTATTACATAATCTTCCCATTTGATCATACTTGGCTGAATAATATAGTAAGCTGCAAAATTAAAAATAAGAATTTGTGTGTTTCACAGTTCAGTAATAGCTCTGTTTTTAGGAACCTGATTCTTAATGCACCAGGAACACTTGTTCCATTTATGGTAGGAAGTTTTGATGTACCAGATGTCTTAGTCAGATACTGACCAAAATATATTGTGTCATTAAAGAATCATTGAGGTTAGAAGAAACCTCTAGAGATAATTTAGATGTTTCTTTTCCATCTCGCCAGTTTAGACTAGGGTTTAATACAGGAAGCTTACCAGGGTCACATCTACTTGGGTTTTTAATATCTCCAAGGATTGAGATGCCACAACCTTTCTGGACAGCCTGTTTGATTATCTGACTGTCCTCATAGTGAAAAGTTTATTATTACATTTAAATGGGACTTGCTGTAGTTAAGCTTGTGCACACTGCCTTTTGTCATGTTACTGGATACCACTGAGTCTAGATGGATCTTCTTTACTCCACTCTTCTCCTTCCATCCCCAGTCAGTTGTTTATATGCACTGGAAGGATTTCTTGCCCCTCTGAGCCCCTGCCAAGCCTTCTCTTTGCCAGGCTAAATGTTCCCAGCTCTCAGTCTCCAGATCAGGCACTTCAAGCGCTTTAGTGATCTCCATGGGCCTTCACTGGACTTGGTTCACTAGGCCTGTGCCTGTCTTGGACTGGGGAACTCAGCACTCCAGATATTGCCTCACCAGTGCTGAGCTGAGAACAACCATCACCTCATTCAACCTGTAGGCCATGGTTTTCCTAGTACAGTCCAGGAATACATTGGTGGCCATTGCTTCAAGGGTGTATTTCTGGCTCAGATAGTGTCTGCAGGCTTCATATGTAACTGGTGTTCAGTTTGGGACTACAAACATCAGGAAGCTTTTCCAGGTAGACACTAAGCAAATATGGGAGAAGCCTATGTTTTATAGCAACTTTGAAGTTTTGCACCAGAATTCTTTCAGATTTTAGGAACTGTCTTAATAAATTCCTAGGTCTCATTCTTTATGAAGTTGTTAGGGACAAGCCAAGTAGGCTTCGGCAATTGGGTTTTAGACCTCTTATGATCAGATAGTCTCAATCTTAACTTGTCCCTTATAGCTCCTTAATAATACTCTGTTTCCAGCTGTAAATATTTCATCTAGCTTATCTTACAATGGCAAGTAGAAACTCTCTAATGCATCTTCTGTGGAAATTCTAGATCTATTTAATATTTCACTGTTAGCTAATGTTGCTACTTAGTTGCATACTTAGTTATGCCAGGTGTCTAAAATAATTGACCTTATTCCATATATTATATGATTATTATGCAGGATCTGAGGCTCAATCAATCTGCTGTCTTAACTATTGCTGAGGTGGCTAAAACCAGGAATTGTTCTTAGCTGAAATGACATAAAACTGAATTGCTGTAATCAGTTTTCTGATGTAATTTATTTTCTGCTTTTATCAAATGCCTGAAATGTAATGTTCTATTCAGTACAAAACTCCCATCCATGGAGTTTTCATCATCCATGATGAAAGAATAAACTTCAAATGAAATGCAGTATCTGAATTGAAAAAAGACTTTTGGTATGATAATTCTACATTAAGTCTATATTATTAGATGCACTAGTATGCAGTGGTATTTGCTGCACAGCATCCTGGCTAGATGTGAGAACACCCTCAACTGTACAGAAGTTCTGTAAGACCTGATTAGTTTCTGTAAAAGAAACTATTCCTGAAGTTATTAGTTCAGTAAGTATTTGATGGAAGATTTGTTTTAAGATCAGACAGAAGCAGTGTGTCACACAAAGGCGTTTTATAGAATCATACAACTGATTGGTTCTGGTTGGGAAAGATGTTTAAGATCAAGTAAAACCATTAATCCAGTACACTGCCAAGTCCACCACTAAACCATGTTCTTGAGCACCACATCTACATGTTTTTAAAATACGTGGGGATGATGACTCCACTAATTTCCTGGGCAGCCTTTTCCAGTGCATGACAACCTTCTCAGTAAAGAAATTTCTCCTAATATCCAATCTAAACCTCACCTGGCACAATTTGAGGCCGTTTCCTCTTCTTCTATCACTTGTTACTTGGGAGAAGAGATGGACCCCAACCTCACTACAACCCCCTCTCAGGTAGTTCTAGAGATCTTTGTATAGAGGCTTTCTGTACGTGAGAGGTTTTGCTTGCTGACCTTAACAAAAAATGACTGATTTAAAAATGATTTCATGTTAGAATTTTGATAGCCTGCACAGTTAACATTGATATCTGCACAGACGGAAGAAACCAAACTGTGATGTTTGATACTCTTGAGGACTGGCGTGATGAGCTGGAGCGGACCAAAGGAAATGTGAAATACAAAGCAGTGACTACCAACGAAGGCTACAGAGTCTCTGAAAAGTAAGCTTGCCCTGGTTAATAGTGAGCTTTGGATATATCTCTCATTAACGCTTGCAAAATCTGTCCTACCTTTGACACTCAGTACTGCACAGCTACTTTAGAGGGTTTTTCAGGATAAGTTTGCACTTTGACTTAAGGGATACTTTTGATTTGGGACCTGAGGAGGTGTTGGCTGATAGTGGAAAATTATGGTACATTAAATTACATCTTTGAATTGTGATGTGAACTGCTTACAAGGCATGGAAACAGCACTAGTTAGGTAATGGTAAAAGAGCATCTTTTGAAACAGCAAAGAATGAGAGTACCAAGGCATTTTTAACAGTCAGTCTTGGATGTTAAAATTAAATATAGGATTTAATTGCAGCCTTGGAAAGGCAGGGGAGTGCTGCAGTGAAAATAATGAACAGCTCAAGATTGAAAGAAAATGGCTTATCTGGCTGAAAATAAGGGGAAGGTGTTGAGGACAATACAATTATCTAGTAGTAAGGATTTTTGTAGCTGTCAGTGTGAATATGTAATTAGCATGTGGGCTTGAATACTCATGAAAAGACCTTGGTGACTGCTCAGATTAAGTGCAAGAAACTTTTTTTTTATCTTAGGTTGCCTTTGTATTTTGTTGTTCCCATATGTGTTTCTGAAGAGAGTATCTTGAAGTATGAAGGCAGAGGCATTCCT